TATTGGGTGAAGGATCTATGAATAAATGAATGCCCCCAATTTCTTTGGAATATGTTTTGTTTGATATACTGCATTCCTTCCATATAACAGGGCTAACAAGGTCCTTGAGGACAAAGAAAAATGGCTCATGAGCAAAGAAGAATATACTACATGAAATCCTAACAGAATCTTAAAATTAAGAGGAAGCTGCATGTCTGCCTCAGTCCAATCTGTATCTGAGAAGAAAAATTTACCATTGCACATGTGAACAAAGAGCAAGACCAAGGTCAGTCTTCTCTGTTTATTGGAAAAGCTTATCTTAAATTGTTTGAGGATGAGAGAGAGACAAAAATATATGCGACTTATGAAAAATACTGTCAAATAAGATTAAGATTCAGAAGATAAATAGTGTGTCTGAAAATAATCTAGAGTAGGATTCAGAAGAAAACTTCCAGGAACAGAAGTTTGATATCCTCAATAAAGTTCAAACAACATGGTTGCTATGAAATAAAATGAGACTGTTATAAATAACTAAATGAAGAAAAAAAAATCAAATGAATGATATAAGGATAAATTGCTAAAATAAAAAAAAATTTAAAAAAGCTAGAGCCAAGTTAAAATTCATGTGGTAGGCTAAAGCAAGAAGTTTTGATTCTAAGGAACAGTAAATGAGTGAAGCTCACATAAAAGAAAAGCTCAAATGTCATCTCAGAACTCAAAAGAATGGGACAAAACTAAAATAATGCAAGAGAAGATGAGTGATGTAGAGGATGGGGAACAGAGAAGAAAAATGGAAACAAGAAGTTTTCTTAATGATGAGACAAATTAGAGCCAAAACAATCAAAGATAAAGCACACTCAATGTTTTTGGTGCAAATTGTAAAGTCTCATTGTGTCTCACTGTGGTTAATCTTAATTGATTAAAATACTCCCATTGGTAAATTCCTGAACCATAACAATGGAGAAAATTATGATATTTTTTGCACTATAAAAGTGCAAAACAATTCAGTACATATCTCTTCAGGAAAAAGAAAGTGGTTTCCCACAAAAGATCAAAACTAAGCTGGCTTCAGATTTTTTTCATCATATCATAAAACAGGGTCAAGAGAGATATATGTAAATGATCAGGAAAGAGTGTTATGGTTCTATTAAAAAAAACAAAAAACATGAAAGCCATTTTTGTGAATCAAGGCAAAGTACATCCTTAGATATATATGAGTGATCAGAATATATGTTATTTGTATGCTAATATACATGAAGAAGTATCCAATTGAGCAAGATATATAAATTATAATCAAAGATGCAAAGTTGCCTACGACTTTAAAAAAAGGACAATGATAGACTAAAGAAAATCTGGCACATATACACCATGGAATATTATGAAGCCATAAAAAGAATGAGTTCATGTCCTTTGCAGGGACATGGATAAAGCTGGAGACCATCATTCTCAGCAAATTGACACCAGAACAGAAAACTGAACATTGCATGTCCTCACTCATAAGTAAGTGTCGAGAACATGCAATAAGATACATGGACATAGGGAGGGGAATATCATACACTGGGGCCTCTTAGTGGGTAGGGGGCTAGGGGAGGTATTGCAGGGGGTGGGGGGGACAGGTAGGACAGCATTAGGAGAAATACCTAATATAGATCACAGGGTGATGGATGCAGCAAACCACTATGGCACGTGTATATCTATGTAACAAACCTGTAAATTCTACACATGTACCCCAGAAATTAAAGTATAATAATAATAAAAAGAATTAAAAAGGGAATGTTGTAAGCAGTAAAACAGGTTTTAAAAGCCAAGGTACTAAATTATTTTTGTATCTGTTTAAAAAATGGAACAATATAAAAAATTTACCTCTGAAAATCTGTAATAAGCTTTTTTTTTCTTTCAAAACCATATTCCTGCTTCTATGACTGGCACTACCAATCACTCATGAACCTCTTTACTGCTGAGCTCTTAGGAAAACCCAGAATTCTTCTGAGTATAGTGTTCCATGCCATCATTATCAATGAATTGGAATTGGACTTTGAGATAAAACTTTTTGACACTGCAAAGTTAAAGAACAAGACTTTTTAAGCTAAAGAAGACAATTCAATGGGTATTCTTTATTAAAAAGTTTAACAGGCTGGGTGCAGCTGCTCATGCCTGTAATCCCAGCACTTTGGGATGCCGAGGCTGGTGGATCATGAGGTCAAGAGATTGAGACCATCCTGGCCAACATGGTAAAACCCTGTATCTACTAAAAATACAAAAAATATTAGCTGGGCGTGGTGGTGGGCGCCTGTAGTTGCTGCTACTCAGGAAGCTGAGGCAGGAGAATTGTTTGAACCCAGGAAGTGGAGGTTGCAGTAAGCTGAGATCAGGGCCACTGCATTCCAGCCTGGCAACAGAGTGAAACTTCATTTCAAAAAAAAAAAAAAGTTTAACAAATTAGATCATCAAAAGATGATAATAGGAAAGATTTGGAAAAACTTTTGGTTAAGCCTGATATATTGTGAAGTATTCATTACTGTGAATGCAGGTATATGTTCTCATAAATACATAAAAAAGATCTGCTTGTAAAGAGGAAGTTATAAGGCTGGAGTACATTTGGACAGACTGGAAAGCAATATGTAAATCTGAAAATATTACTGATGGTTACCAATGGCTATTTAGTTTTTACTTTTTAATGTTATTTTTTATAATTTAGAAAGGTAGAGAAGAAAGTATTGTATGATTTAAGATAGACCATTAATTTTTATACATTTTATAACACTAATTTAGAATTAAATTTAATGTAATAAACTGTGGAGTCAATAGGACTCATGACCTGTTCTGTTCCTATTTCTAATTCAGATGAGACCATTAGTCCTCTATTCAATGAAGCCTCTTGCCTGAATAATTTACTACTGTGTGCCACATTCCATTTTAACTTGAAACAATAAAAGTGAAACCAAGTCACAGATTCTCAGGCCCAAACAGTGGGATAGGGACACTGAGATTCCCATAATTTTTGCTATATTAGTTATCTTGAGAACATCAATACTAGTCTCAAAAGTACAAATAAATAAATAAATCAGTATATTAAAAGTATATTTTTAAAATGAATTCGATACTTTAAATTCAATTCATTTAAACCAATTTTTGCCAAGTCAGATGCTAATAGCCTCCAATCCAATTATCTCACAGGTCTGCCTACCTGTAACAGCCTAATGCCAAGTGGAAGGTTTTAACAGAAAAAAAACAAGGCAATTTATGGGAAGATAGAAATTGAAGAAAAGGATAAAAGTGATTAAATCATCTAGTGATGGACATGGTTCTGGAGAATTTACCTTACCTAATTACATAAAATTCAGCCATCCAGCACAGCCTAAATTTTCCCTTAATTGGCTGTCACAGTTTTTAAACTGTAACTGGCAAACTTAATTTACACTTGGGTTAGAAAAATCTTAGAAGGATGAATAAATGTAGCCATGGTTACCACTATCAGCATAAATTATCACAATATCATCTACCATCATTTAAAGACACTTAAAGAACAAACCTATTTTCCCAGGCAACTTTAAAATAAGAATATCACTACACTTTCGGTCTATCATTGTCAATTATCTCAGAAATGAAGAATCCTGCTTTAGCTCTAAAATTATGCTTTATAATCCTGTATTATAAATAAAGACACTTAAAGGACAAAATTAATTACTAATCTTGAAAGAAATAATACAATATCTTAGTTGTGGGTCAAACTCCTTAACTTCTATTGTGTGTTTGAGCCATTTTTCAGCTTTAGGTATATTTGTTATAACAGTCTATAGTATTTATCTAACAGACCTGGCATTCAACCCAAGCCAAAAAAGAAAGCCTTCTGTTAGGTGTGTTCCAGCTGGGACAATGCATCTAGTGAAGGCTCAAGTCCATTTCCAGGGTTTGTTTCTCTTTCAGCCTCTCCTTCCAAACCCTCGTTTTTGGCTCTAAAATGGAGTCTTATTTCTCTTTATCCCATTTTCACCAGATTGCCATGGTTTCAAAGGTTCAATTGCTTGTTTTTCTTATCAGTACCACAACAGTAATTAGACTTTTCCCAATAATTAAACCTGAACAAAATAATGTTACTTTTGTTTTCTTTTAAATATTATATGTAAGTTTTAATATGTATTTGAAATGTTATACATCTGTAATACACATATATTTTAAATACATATTAATATTTATATCTAATTTTTAAACAAAGCAAATACATATATACATGTATGAACCTGGTACTCTGATATCTCTTAAATCAAACAGAAAATAAATCAAATAGCTAACAAATAGAATTTTTAAGAAAAAACTTTTAGAATTTTCAAACATTTAAAATAATTTAGGGAACTTACATATGAAAAACAAGAACATACATGATACTTAATATAAAGATAAAAGTAAGAGTCTTCTAGGAATAAGGAGAAAATAACCAGGCCAGGAGAGATATAATTGTTGTATCTGAATACTGTGTTAAAAACTGAGAGCTTCTGGATGTAAGAGCAAAAAAGAAAATGTTTAAAAAAAAAAAGATAGCAGAGATCTTACTAGATAATAAAAGAGAACAAGCTAGTAATTCAGGAGATGGATGATAGACACATTTTCCAGAAATTAAAATTAAAAATCATTATCATATGACTCTACGAAATTAAGCACTATGTAATATAAGGAAAAATATCTTTGCCTAAAGTTTTGAAAAAGAATCAAATTTATTTTAATTTTTAGTACAAGCATACATTTTATAGCTTTAGTTTCCATCATCTAATTTAACCTAATTAATTAATCAATGCAATTATTTAAATAAGCAAATTAAGTTAATTTCTCTTTGAATTATTTTAATGCTATATTCAGAAATAATCTAATGGTTTTTAAATAGCAGGAGCATTAGATGATATGCCATAAAGGTAATAATTTATTGCTATTATTCTTTTATTTTTGAAAGCAAAGCACTTGTAAAGAGAAAACATAAATGACAAATTTTATGTGTAATAAAAGAAAAACATGATACAAACCTGAAATCATAAGAATCCAAAAGTCACTATTAAAAAATCATGTATGTGATTGACAACATTCTGAACTCTCTCAACTTCTAATAAAATAATGAAGAAGTCATAATCTGAAAATCATTAATATATACTTTCCAAGAAAGGGGCTGAGAAAGCTCATCTTACATGCTAGAAATGGAGAAGCATAAAGAAAATTACTGCAAATGCAATTTGGGGCATAATTTTAGTCTGTGTTTTGATTAATAAAAATTTTCCAACTTTTCCCAATTACTGACATTACTGTATTTTCCCCAGAAGCAGAATACACCATAATAAAACTGTATTTTATTTCAAAAAACTAGATAGATGGTTAAGGTTATACATTTGAGCTGTCTGCTTTTAAAATTTGTTTGGTTGAGAACATTTTTAAATTTGAAATGCGGTTCCTAATCTTAGTTTACTTTTATTATATTCACAGATTTAATATTCAAGACTTTCTTTTCTACTCTACATGCTAATGTTACATAAATCTATTGTTTACTTCATATAACAGAACCTCAAAAGTAAATGAGATGTTCTTCACTTTTATTTTGAGACTTACAATTAAAAAGGGATTCTATATTTACTAATTTTTCAATTGAAAGAGAATTTGATCTAATAAAATGACATCTCAAGACTGAAATTTTATTGTTGCTCAATAGTACATACCTGAACACCAAATTACTTAAGTGAGAATCTATGTCATTGTTTTTCACCATTCCCCAAAATTACAAGCATTCATTAATGGGAATTCAATTGAAGCTTGTGACTTCATCATCATCTCTTTCTTCTTCATTATTATCATCATCAACACCATCAATCATTGTCTGGCACACGGTAGGCCATCAAATGTTTACTGAACAAAGAAGTAAATCAACAAATATTTACCTACTGTGTTCCAACAACTATGCATTATATAGACTCTTCATGTTTACTTCACATGTATGTTTCATGTTTACTCTTCACTTCAACCTTGCTATTTAGGAATTATAATCCTTCTTTACAGGTGAGGAAAGGGTACATGGGCTTAATTGAAAAATAATATCACACAGCTAAGACTGAAAGAACTAGGTTTCATACTTTTTTTCTGATTTCAAATTATATTACTTTTCCACTAAGCCTGCTACAAAAAGTATTAAGGTACTTACAGTAATTACTCAATTCAGTTAAACAACATTCTGTCAAGTGTAAGGCACAATGATGGTGCTCTGGAGGACAGAAAAATGAACAGACATAGGCTCTGTCTTCAAGGAATCTATAATCTACTGAGAAAACAAATTGTTTGGGCAACTACTGATGTTTGGGCAACTACTGATGTTTTTAAGGTGGAAGTCAGAATGAGGTAAGAGTAAGAGTACAACAGTATAGGGTACTTGTAAGGCATGAGTAATGGAGAAAGCCACTTATTTGGGCAAGTGGATCTAGGGATAGTTTATTAATAAAAAGGAATTGGAACTAGGTGTTGAAGAATAAATACAACTTGACAGGTTACATTTTTGGTAGAGGGAACAGCAAAAACAAAAGTAAGTAGGTAGGAAGACACTGGCATTCACTCATTCCTTCATTCTTGTATTTGCTTATTAACTACTATAAATATCAGGCATAAAGAAAGTTGGTCAAGTTCCCTGCCTAAAAGAGTATACATTCTAAAAGTGAACAAAGTGAGATACTAGAAAAACGTAAATGAATAAAACTTTTCAGACAGTAATAAGAATTATGAATGAATTAAAGCAGTGTTTTTGACTGAGTGGTCAAAAAAATAAATAGCTTAATCAAAAGACACGGAAGTATGTGTCTTTTGTTATTTAATTCACTATATGAAAGAAATCAAAGAGCAGTATGCACAAATTAGATACTCATTTGTTATTTGACCCGCCAATGTTTCTTTACATAATATTTAATAACTTTTATTATAAACAATAGTGCCAGCAATAAAATTGGCATAATCAGAATAAATACAGCTACCATAAAACATTATGCACCTGTTTAAAAAATGAGTTGGATCTTTCATTTACTCACCTCAAGTAATGGTTACTACACATTGTTAAAATAAATAGCAAGTTGCAAAATCATATGCATAATATGGTAGCTGAGGGAAGACAGCTTAATTATATCAAGTGTTGTGAAGGTATAGGGAATGAATAGTTGAAAAAGCTGTTGTTAGAACATAAATTGATATACTTCACTGCAGAGAATTTGCCAGTATCTATCAATGCTAAAAATGCTCATATCATGTGATTCAATATTTAAAAAAAATAAAAGGAGTCTATGTACTCTGCATTTTAAGAACATTTAATCTAAGATTTCCTTTAGGTTCAAACACATTTTTTAAAATTAATATATTTGTATACTAACCTATTGAAGAAAACAGGAATGCTTTCTTTTCTTTCAACCTGCTATTCCCCATTCTGCTCTTCCTCTAACCCCTGACTCACTATTTCTTCTGGTGAGCTCTTTGGGGATTTTAGTCCCAAATAGCTCTTTGTTTTCAATAAACCACAATTGTATGAACTTCACTACATGCTTCATTGATTTATTTGCTCACCAATCTATGTCCCTCTTCAATTCATTTTGTTTCGTGACAAGCTTAAATATTCATTTTACAGAATATGTGAATGATTATCTTTCTGAGTTTTAGCATGTTTGTAAATTCTTATTCTACATTCGTACTTAAATGCTAATGTAACTGGCTATAAGAATTTAGGCTCAAAATCAATTCCTTCAGAATCTGAAATTTTGTCCCACTTAGAATCTCTTTTTGGTAAGTCTTACAAAATTTTTATTTCCATTTCTTTTTTTTTCTTTGTAGATTAACTTAGATTTTTTTCTTTATCATTAGTGTTCTCAAAATTTGCCTTTTTATGTTTAGACTAATTCATTCCTTTGATAAATATTTATTGAGCACCTACTATGTATCAAGCAGTGTTCTGTGTGGTAGAGATATGTCATTGAACACAATAAACAAACATATGTGTCTTTTGTTACTTAATCCACTGGTTACTTTTAATTGGTGTTATATTTCACTCTGAAAATATTTTATAATAACTGCTGTGATTATTTCTTCTCTTCCACCTTTTCTGTTCTATGTGCTTGGAATGCTTAGAAAATAGATACACTGTACATTCTTGATGCTTCTTCTATATAATATAAACTTTCTGTCATTTTAAATATCTGTTTTTTTCTCCATACTGGAGAAACCTTTGACTTGCTACTCATCAGTGGTGTCTATTTTGCCATTAAGCTAATTAATGAGATCTTTAAATTTGTACCACTGTATTTAAATTACAAAGTTACCTATCTTCTTCACATAATGCCTTACTTTTTATAGATATTATATCCTTTCTTCAATATCAATTAAAGCTTTTAAAATACTTTGTAGTCAAATGACATTTTCAGGTAGAAAGTCTATTTGTTGAATTTGGTGACTCTTCCTTATAGGGATAGATTTTCTCAGTCAATAGTTGCTTGTCTGGTCCTCTTCGTACTCCATATCACTGTTTTACTGTCCAAAATCTAGAAAGTTTTAATATCTAGAATCTAAAAGGAACTCAAACAATTGAACAAGCAAAAAACAACTACCCCATTAAAAATGGGCAAAAGTCATGAACAGACACCTGGTCACAGCTTTCTAAAGAACTAACTAATCAGGCCTCAAAGCCTACACTCATTACTTTATCATGACAGTAAATTGTAACATTCCATGGCTCAGCACAATTGGAGAAGAAAAGGGAGGCTGACTGGTTCTCAGGCTCAGAAAACAATTACACTACTACTGAACCCAATGTTCCAGAAACTATGCCTGCCTTAAATTCATTTACTTTGAGCTTGGAGCTCCCTGGAGATCACACCCACATCTCTGATGGGATTCTGCTTTCTTTTGTGCTGTGCCTTTTCTACAGTGTTCTTCTACATGAAGCAAATCCATGCTATCTTCCTTAATTATTCCTGTCATGAATTATTTTTTATTACATAAGATTTAGAATATAAAAATATATTTTAGGCTATCTTAAAAGACTTGTAGAAAATACATGCATATGTTTAGCTATCAACCTTTATTCAACTACTCTCTTTTCACACTCCATAATTCAGTAAGAAAAAAAGTATTTTATAAAAAATGGTTACTTTTATCTAAAATATGGAAAGCTGAAAGTATTGAACATGTTTCTGATGAAATAATCATAGAGAAGGCAAGAAAAACAAGTAAGTTTTATTTTGTTTTTCCCCATATTCATTGTTAAGCTATTGTCTCTTAGATTCAAACCATTCTTCCTTATTTCACCTATGGGGCTGGGACTCTGGAAACCACAGTTCTGTTGTCAGCTAAATTATTATTAGGCTACCAAAAGGGGACAGCAAAGAGAGATATTAGAAGAATAGAAGATGAAGAAAGGATACTTTCCTGCTAGGCTGTTTCCTGTTCCTGATTTGTTTCCTATTCTCAGCATAACTGAGCAGTGCTTTACCCTGATAGTTGCTAGTTGTTCCAATAGTACAACTGATTCTAGTTTGCATTTTGTTCAACAACCATAGAACCAACATTGTTCTGCCCCCTCACAGATGTCAGGTAATGCCAACTGGTGCCCCCTACTCAAAGGTGTGGGTCCTAGCACACAGCATTTCGTGGCATTCCTGAGGCAGCATCACAACTCAGCAACACGCTTTCTCGGAAGTTTGTCTTAGCTCACTGAGTCCTTCATCAAAGCTTCTAAACTTTAATAACCCTAGCCTCTCCCTTTTATTCCCCAACATTAGAGAATCTCTGTGAAAAATGTAGTGTTCTCTTTTTTCAGGTTTTCAATTCCTGGCTGACACTTATTTGTATTAAATTCTCTTGTTAAAACAATTGCTGGGGTTTCTATTACCTAACTGGACTCTGAAAAATATACTTCCCTAACTACATTGGCTGCTTTGTATGCCCAACAAGACTCCTGTCTTAATGTCAAAACCATTAATTTTATTAGATGTGAAAATGATCATCATCTATTATTTATATATTTTACTAAAATGTTTTAAAATGTGACTAAAGAAAAACAGATATGAGTCTTCTTCTTGCTCATAATTTCAAAGCAGTTCAAGATGACTTTGAAAAGGAAAATATGCATTTCCAAAAGATTTTTCTCCAAACAAGTTTTTCTGAAACTGCAAAGAACCAGAATCCTCACTGTATGTCTTTGGAAATTTTTTCATTCCAGTAGACTAATTAATTATGGGATACTTCTCTATGCAGACCTTCAAATCTGTTAGTGTCAAACATGGATGCTATCAATTAATGTACACTTGTGTCCAGGTATTGATATTTCTTTAACTCTTGACCTAAATTATATAACTTCTTTTAAATATGTAGTGCAAAAAAGCAAAAAATATTTATTAAGTTTACATTTTGTCTTGTAGAAAATCAATGAATGGAAGACTGTTACTAGTCAGAACGATGGACAGCATGAAAGCAGAAGAGACCTCAGTAGAGATTACAAGAGCTGGAATTCATCTGCTGCCCTAAGATTAAACATTTAAATCCAAACACATACATTTTGTGGCAGCTCACTATCAGCAAGTAGCCATACCACCAGTTTCAATAATCAAAAACTCCAGGTGAAAAGATAACAGAACATAAATGGAACCTGGACTTTTTCAACAATTGACTTATTAGGAAGTACCAAGTGAATGCCTATTTTGAGACCAAGACCACTTTTCACCAAAAGTCTGACTTTTAACATTAATGTATCATTCAGCTTCTTTTTTATAACTGTCTTATTGTAAAAACAAACAAAGGATACAATTCTCTGGACTGGAATTGTGCCAAACTCACATCTTAATTCAGGAAGAATTGACATTCCCATCCGATAATACAGTACAGTTCACAGATTTTCAAATCAACTTATTTGCACACTGAGATAGATGAAAAATCCAGTTTGCCATTCTTGAGCATTGTCATTCACATCTCAATCCCCTAAAGACTCCATTCATGGTCTCAGAATCAAATGTAGCCCTAAAGTGTTTGGGGGAAGGCCCTCAAATACTTGGTTCCATGTTTTGATATCCATTCCCCGTCCATGTAGCTCATTCTGGTATGGCAGTTCTAGGCAACAATCATATAAAAAAATATTTTTGAGGCTGCCTTTGGTACAGTGTGCCTAAGGATACCATGCAAATATTGTTTACCATGGTCTTACAGCTTCCTGCTGAGAGGACCCTTGCCTAGGTTCTTAGAATTTCTCTGGTCTCCCTCATTTACTCTTCTTTTTAATCCTTGCTTAATTTTCTGAAAGGAAATATAGGAGACCTTGCAAGCTACTTTTGCATCCTGATTTGGATATACTTTCAGTGAAGCATTAAATGTTTATCTGGCCACTAGACAATGAGGCATATAAATAGATGAAAAAATAAATCTCAAACATATTATTCAGTCATGCACTTTACCTTTTTTTAACCTCAACTTCTTGAGGAATTAATAAGGTATATATTATCATCCTCAATTTCAGTGAGAAAGCAGAATCTAAAGAAGCTATAGTATTTTGTTCCAGAACAAAGACTGATTAAAGTAGAGCTAAAACTATAGCATATTTTCAGATACTTAATCTCAAGGAAATGCTATCTCTCATCAAAAACTGTTCTTAAAATTCAAATGAAAATACATTTATTCACTGGAGAAATATTTTTTGAGTACCTATTATGTTTTCTTAGTGTCGTAATGGTGGGCTAGTGAGAGAAACAGGTAATACTTAAATAAGAATGAATCACTAAACTGAAAATAGTTGAAACCACAGGCAGAGAGTTTAGCGGAAATAAATTCAGCTGACCTAACTTTTTTTTTTTTTCCAATAAAATCACTGATTTATATTAGAACTAAATGTTCTAATTTTACTACTATTTCTACTCACCACTATTGCTTATATCCCACTCCATTCCTTAGATTCACTTTTCCTCTTGCTGGAGTCCATCCTTTTGTAGTTGTCTCTGCAAGAATCTGTAAGAGGTAGATTCTATTAGTCTTTGTCCAAAACTTAGTTTCATTTTCTCTTTTGAATAATAACTTCGTTTTGTATCATCTCAGGTTGAGTATTTTCCCCAGAATTTAAAAATTTTATTCTGTTACCTCCTAGCATATATTGTCAGTAATGAAAACATCTACAGTCAGTTTAATTATTGCTACTTTGTAGGAAATCTTTAAAACAATTCATACATAGTTAGATTCTGTCATATTGCACCTAGGGCCAAACCATGTGCACTTGTGTAATTCTTGCCCTTTACAAACAAATACAGCTAAGAAGGCAAGTGAGGGCTGAAAACCAGGCCATGGGCCACTCACTCAAATCATAAAATTAAAGAACAGCATCTGCCAGAGGGCGCTGTGTTCTACTTCACATAAAGGTGTCATATAGAGTAGTGATGATATTATAATGCATACAGAGTTGAATTTATTTTTACTAGCATTTTTATTACTTGGATCACTGTATGAGAATTTGTCTTACTTCAGCTCAGACGAAATTCCCATTAATTCTTCAAATCCTGTCTCTTTTCCATTGTTACTTTTCTTATTTGAACATATATCAGGAATATGTTGGAACTTCTCAACCTCTCTTCTGATCCAGGTCTTTAACTTAACTCTCGCTTTTTTTAAGCTCTCAATGTTTTGTTCTAGGTCTTGCTATTCATTATCTCTTTAGCTATGTTCACTTGTTAATTTTAAAATGACCATAATTTTCAATGCCAGGATTTCTAATTGGCTCTTTTTCTGCTAATCCTGTTATTGAGTCTCATTTATCTGTTTGCATTTCATAATTTTTCTTTTTTAAAACTTATTTCCATATCCCTTTTAGGATTTTTTAAATACCTATTTTACAAATCTTTTTTGAAAGATTGCTTTAATATTTGTATTTCTTCAGATAATTCACTTGTTTATTGAGTTTACTGGCTCTATTTCATAAAATTTGACTTTTACCTTCCTGGGTTAGTGTTTTTCCTCTCTCCAGCCCATTACCATGGTAAAGTAGCATTTAGATACTTTAAATATGTATTTTAAAATATTTTTCCAGCATTGCTATCTTGAGGGTGTCGAGGGAGGTGGTTATTAACATACCGATTGGCAATAGCATTTTGATTAGTAGTTTCAAATACACATTTCCAATGTATTATTTGTTAAACCAAGAAGCAATCCTAAGATATTTTATATATTTGGCTTGCAACATTAGCATTTAGAATTTTGTTTTACAAGGCCAGTTTTTCTAACTACACAGTCCAAAGAGTAGCAAACTATGACCTGTAGATCTAATCCAACCTGCTGCTTTTTTTTTAATGGTCTTTGGACTAAAAATTTGTATATTTTAAGTGATTGCTTAAGAAATATAGAATAATATGCAACAAAGAAAATTTGTGACCCATGAAACCTAAAATTTTTACTGTTTGGCCCTCACAGAAAAAGTTTGCTGATGCTTGACAGATAGTTTATCTGTAGATACCAACCCAATTATTTTTATTTTCTGATTATTTTTGATAGATTTTTAAAGATTAACTTTGGTCCAATTAAAATCCTACTAAGTTATTTTGTGGATATAAACAAACTAATTCTAAAGTTTATATGGAGAGTCAAAAGACCCACAACAGCCAACACAATACAAAACAAAGCCAAAACAAAGCCACAACAGCCAAAACAAAGTTGGAACACTGACAGCACCTAACTTCAAGACTTTAAATCTACAGTAATCAAGATAATCAAGTATTTGCAAAAAATAGACAAATACATCAATGGAACATGCTAGAAAGCCCAGGAAAAAAAAAACCCACATAGATATATTCAGCTAAGCAAATACAGTAAAGGAGCAAAGGCAATAAAATGGAGTCAAGATCGACTTTCAACAAATGGTGCTGTGACAACTGGATATTCACATGAAAAAAAGGAATCTAGACATAGACTTTATATGCCTTACTTAAATTAACTTAAAATGAATCACCTATGTAAATGTTAACACAAAAGTATAAAACTTGTAGGAGATGACATAGGAGAAATCGTTCATCACGTTAAGTATGGTGATTGCTTTTTAGGTACAACACCAAAGCCATGATCCATGAAAGAAATAATCGATAAGATAGACTTCATTAAGATTAAAAATTTCTGCTCTGAAAATGACACTGTCACAAGAAGAAAAAGAGAAACCACAGACTGGAAAAAACATTTGTAAAAGACTCATCTGATAAAGGCCTGTTATCCAAAACATACAAAGGACTTATAACTCAACAGTAAGAAAATGACCAAATTAAAAAATGGGCAAAAGATCTGAATAGACACTTCACCAATGAAGATACAAATGGCAAATAAGCATTTACAAAGATTCTTCATATCATGTACCATCAGGGAAATGAAAATTAAAACAACAGTGACATACCACTACACAAGTACTGAAGTGGTTAAAATCCAGAATACTGACAATACCAAATGCTGACAAAGAAATGGAATAACAGGAACTCATATTCATTGCTAGCGGGAATACAAAATGGTACAGTTCCTTCAGAAGACAATTTAGTGGCTTCTTACAAAACTAAACATAGTCTTCCTATATTACATAGCAGTTGTGCTTCTTGATATTTACTCAAAGGAATCAAAAACTTCTGTCCACACAAAAACCTGCACATGGATGTTTATAGCAGCTTTATTTAAAATTGCCACAACTTGGAAGCAACAAAGATATCCTTCAGCAAGTGAATGGGTAAATAAACTATAGCATATTGAGGCAATTGTATATTATTCAGTACTACAAAGAAATGAGCTATCAAGCCATGAAAGGAAGTGGAGGAAACTTAAAATGCATATTACTAAATGAAAGAATCCAATCTTCAAAGGCTACATACCACATGATTCTAGCTATGCGACATGGAAAAGGCAAAACTATACAGACAGCAAAAAGGTCAGTGATTTTCAGGGTTGGCAGGAGGGACAGATGAATAGTTAGAGCACAAGGGATTTTTAAGGCAGTGAAATTACTCTGTTGAATTGTGGGTTTCTGTCATTACACATTTGTTCAAACCCATAGAATGTACATACCAAGAGTAAATACTAATGTAAACTATGGACTTTGGGAGATAATGATGTGTCAGTGTGGACTCATCAATTGTAAGTAATATACCACTTGTGTGAGATGTTGAAATGGGTGAGGCTATGCACATGTGGGGCTAGGTGTACATTAGAAGTCTCAGTACCTTTGAAGCAGGATATTTCCCTGACACCCTCATGAGACTTACGACAGGGGTGCCTTGTTCACTCAGCCTACCACTCTCAACTCCTTGTGGGAAGGAGCATGTGAGCAAACAAGTGCAGGAACCAGCGCAAGCACTTTTGAGAACTGGGAGAAACACATCCCATTTACTCGGCTCACCACGCTCAACCTCAAGTGGGAGCGAGCAAATAGGTAAGCGAGTATGGGATTCAGCTGGCTGCTTTTGGGCACCAGCAGGAGTGAACTCTGTGCAGGCCCTGTGGCAGCATCCAGGCAGAGATGCCTGTGACTCTCGAATCCCCAGGGGGCATGTGTCACAGCGTTATTTTAGCTCTGCCATCTATGGATGGCTTATGTGTTAACAGCTTAGTGGGCCCTTTGCCTTTTTGCATGAGATGGCTGCCCTCCGCCAGTGAGGGCAAAGGGACAGTGTGACAACCTTTTGTATCCACACTCATGACTCCCAAGCTCTTGTCCAGTATCCAGGAAAAATGAGGTCACTTGAACAAATTTAAGGATGGCAGACGCCAGGGATTTTATTGCCAATGAAAGTGGCTCTCAGAAGGAAGGGAAGCTGAAAAGGGGATGGGGCAGGTAGGTAATCTTCCCCTGAAGTCCAGCTGAAAAGGGAAGGAGGCAGGTAGGTAATCTTCCCCTGATGTCCAGCTGTCTCTTCTAGACTTCAGGCCAGATTCTTCTCCAAAGTTAAACTGTCAAGATGTCCCTCTGAAGTCAAGCTGTTTCTCTCCAAAGTCCAGCTGTAGTCTCATCTTATAATAAATGAGTATTAGATTTATCAAGTGTTTTTTCTGTATCTATTGATATCATTATAATGATTTTACTTTAAAAATCTTGAGTGAAGCTCACAAATTTACCTTTTACATAAGAACCTCAGATTCACATGGTCCAATGACAACACTGTGAGATGCTTCACAATGTTCATGGGTATACATATTGGTTTCAGGGATTATGCAGTTGACACCCATCAATCTACATTTTCCCCAAGTGTTAATAACTGATTCAAATCAATTGAGCATCCATAACTGTCCATTGCAGAGCCATATGTTAATGTCAGTTATCTTCTATGTTAGTTAGCCCAATATGAATATCATACATATGTTTCTCAGACAAAAAAATGAGAAAATAATTCACTTTGTTTTTCACTGTTTCTCATGTTACTGAAATTCCAAACTGTTTTTCATTTCTTGGTGTAGCAATGTTGGGCTGATGAGAGAAACAGAAAATCACTGATTGAAAAAAAAGTGAGTTGTTAAATTAAAAACCTTTGGAAACCATAGAAAAGAGAAATCCAATTGAAGTAAATTTACCAGATGAAAGCTAACATTCTTTTAGATAAAATACATGAGTTCTATACCATAATTTTTTAAGAAACCAAATATTCATTTGTCCCTAAAGATAGTTTAGGTAATTGGCTAGTTCATAAAAATGCTTTTAATTTGATGTGGTAGAGCCCTAGGATATATTTATCTCTTAGTCTTATTCTAGGCATTAAAAACTATAGACAAATTTTGGTCCAGACAGAAAATTTGTACCTACTTTCTAACATAAAGGTGCAAAAGGAGCTTCAAAAATTATTTACAGAACGATTTTCCAAGTAATGTGGAGGCTATAGGTGAATTTCATTTAATTATAAGAAAACCATCCATTATCGCCATTTTGTCTCTTTCTAGAGGCAGGGGTCTAATAGATTTTGCCGGAAGAGCTCATGAAAGCATTTTTTTTTTTTTTACTTTAT